GCGCCAGCATGACCGTTCTGCTTCAGCAGCACTGATTGGTATGGCATTAAATTCTCATTTTGAAAGCAAAATATCATAACATCTATGCAATAATTGTTGGTCTGAATTACAAATTATTTTTTTTCCATTTTGTTGAGGTAACTTTCTTGTTTTCAACAGAAATGTTTCTTTTACCAATGATGTTTTAAGGGGACATTACAATTCTCTCTTACTTCTTGGCATCATTGCCTAACACTTTTACTCATGCAAAATACTTCACTTGCATCTTACGTGTGCCCTAATTTTTGACATGTGGGTGTTATAGAATCGTAATCGAATAAGCATTCAAGTAAACAATGGTAAATTAGGAGCAACTCGGCTCCAATGGGAAGTGTGACAAATTTGTGATGTAGAATGCGTAAACTCCACTTTGTCACGCGAACCGCCTATTTTGCCCTGATTACCATTTAGGCAGAGTAATTTTGGTATTCAAACTAGTATTATTAACATTATAAGTAAGTAGTACACTGTTGGCACATTGGTGTGAGGGGGGGGGGCTGTTTTTGAATCTCACAGACTGGCATTTCTAAAGTGCGAAACCCTCATCTCCAACTATTTTAAATAATTTAGCAGAATACCATTTTAAAAGAAATCAGAGGATTCTAGGCCTTATAAAGTACTTGCGAAACCATTTTAAAGATATCACTTCTACATATTCATTCAAATCATTTCTTGAAATAATTTTTTTATTTATTTCAAATGGCAAGCGTTTTGATAGTTATTATTATCCCTTTCGTTGACTTCGGGCTTCACAGAGGGGAGAGGGAACATTAAAGTGGGAAGAATTCGTTAGAGGAACAGAAGAGTGATTCATAAATGCAAAAGGAACAGATACAAAGGTAGAGAAGTAGGGTAAGGTGAGTACTGTGAAAGTGGTAGAGTATGATATACAATGGGATCATGGTAGTTTGAAGGCAGAAGTTAACTGGCTGTTTATAGACATAATTACCGTATGATTATACGTTGCCCAAAGTGCACCACGTGAAAGGGAGTCTATCGCACGCCGTTCATTTTTGAGCAATACCAATTACTTTCAGAAAATATGTCAAAGAAATCTAGTCAACGCACTGCAGAACGTTCGCGCCAGTGATAGACTTTAAGATCGTGTATGAATTGGATCTCAAATTATATTTAATGAAAATGTATTTGGTAATTAGTCAAAATTAATACTGCTAACTTTTCTGACTAGGGGAATATCAATTCAAATAAGGAATTGACACTATTTTGGAAATGAATTCTTTTGTGAGGCTGAACCTGTAAAATATAAAATTCAAAGTAGATTGGATCGATGCACGTGATTGTGCATATGTTCTCTTTAGAAGAATTCCACATTATTTATTCATTTGTTTACTGTCACATGTCGAGTGTATGTACTTAATGCCCCAGAGACCACTAGACTTCTGTGGAGTTCAAAAGTACGATCTTCCAATTCTTGCAGGTTGAACATTTTATTGCCCTCATGAATTGAATTATCAAGCAAATAGACTTTTCATTCTTGGTATCATTGTATGACACTTGCACTCATGCAAAAAATTTCACTTGCATCTCACATGTGACCTATTTATGACACATGGGTGTTGGGGAAAGCAGGTTAGAGCGTGGCATTTTAGACTTGGAAAAAAAATTTTAAAATGGCAGACTTTTGGTAGTTATTATCAGCCCTTTAGCTGCCTTCGGGCTTCACAGAGGGGAGGAGGAGGAACATCAAAGTGAGAAAATGTCGAGAGGTGGGGGAAAAAGAAGAATGAATCACAGATGTGAAAGCAGAGACAAGGTGATGTGAGTACTGTGAATTTGTCAAATATGACATACAGTGGGGGTAATGGTAGTTTGAAGTCAGAAGTCAACTACCGGTTAGTAGACTATTTTGACGTATGAGTATACGTTGCCCAGGGTGCACCACGTGGAAGTAAGTCTATCGCACACCCCGATTAGGCGAAAATAGTGAATAAATCATGTTTAGTTGTTAATGAAAGAAATATTAATGCAAGTTTTGAAATTTCAAATTGTTCACTTATGTTCAAATTAGGCATTCATCAATCACCGATGAGATCTATTTCCTCACCACACAGAGGGTAGAAATGCTTAAGCAGTTTGCTGGGATAATTCCTTATTCCTATCCTGATGGTACTACTATTTCATAGGATGGGAAGAAAAGTGGATTCCTTTCTGTCTATAAGCATTATAGAATTTCAAAAGTCAATTGTGATGCGCCACTTTATGCAATAATTGCAGTTCGTAATCCATTTGCTATTGAAATTTCAAAATTTAAAAATTTCTCTCAAGCTTTTCTAATCTAAAATCGATCTCTTAGCTTGCTTAATAGCCTTATGCCTTAGCTTACTCGAGTTGGAGTGTGGTTAAATGATAATTTAGTTGGGCAGACGGGTAACATTTTGGAGTCTAGCATAAGGTTTCTGCATTCTGCTACTTCTCAATACAGCTGTTGTTCATCGAATTCTTACCCATAACCTCTGACAATACAGATTTGGTTGTTGACCGCTATACCATCAATTAGCCATTTAACTGAAATGTTTTATGCTAGTTTTTATTTGTATCAAGTTCGACATCTCTTTGTTAATTGGATATTGAAAAGCGTTGGGTATCTTTTGAAGGTCTCAATTCTAGCAAACAGTAATTTCCTTTAAGCCCTTGGCAACTAAGCTTTGTTGGGGAGGAACAAAGAATTCAACATCGATTATCTACTCTAACCCTTGGCCTCAAATCTGTTTCTCGATTTACACACTTTTTTCATATTTTAATCCCATTCTGTGCTCCTTATTAACAACCACTGCTTATTTATGTCTAGTAAGTTCCTCGCAAGTCATATATCGGTTCTCCATAAGAATTTTGTGTATTCAGTACCCTTCTAAATAGACAAGAGAACACTTCTGATTGACTGGAATAAAGGCTTGTGCTTGCATTGATAATGGAATCACATTTGCCTCCAGAAAGCTATCGAATTGGTCGGGGGAAGAAAGTTAAGTTTAGATTGATCGATTTTTAAAGATCCGCCACATTTCGCAAATTGGCTGCTGGAATACGCACCATTACCTGAAACATTTGTAATATCAGTGGTATTAGCGTTGAATGGTGTTGGTAGGTTACAAATAACAATGATTGACATTTATACCTACCTTTCAAAATGAAAATTTTACGCTTTTTTGGTTGCCGATTAAAAGAGCGATGCAGAAATATTCGTAACGGTGGAAATAAAATGGACTGTGGTAATAATAATGAGAATAATAAACTTAACTAAAAACCTTTGATATTCTCCTAATATATTTTTTTCAAATTCTTCAATGCTACTGACAGAAATTCAGTGGTAAATTCATTTCCACTGGTCTATTCGTCTTTTATTGTGGAATTAGGTAGAGATATCTAAGCCTCATATGCAATTCTATTTGCTTTGAAAAGCTCTCTCAAATATATTACTTATTGCCCATTCGATAATACTAAATTTTCTTCTTGAAAGATGAGAAAAGATTCAAGCCAGGATAACACATTGAAAATCCTTTTTGAATATGTAAATGTATCCATAAATGTAAATCGATAAAGAACGTTAACATTTTTCACAAAGATACCGACATTCAGTGCAATTTCCTTTTCAGAATTACTCAAAATATAATTTTTACCATCTATCTCCAGTAACTGCAGATTTTGAGGAGACAGCTTGAATGACCATCACTCGAGTGTATGAGTAAATTGAGCTTATGGGAATTAGATTTTATATCTTTAATTCTCCTTTGTATAGCTGGTCACAATTTACATTGAGCTCTATTAACCAAATTAAAGCGATATCTTTGCAACTTTATGAGGTAATTTCAGGAACCATCCCATTCGATTATCTCCAATTATGGTGTTGAGCGGACAGTGCCTCCCAAAACATAGTTTTTTTGATGGAACATCATTGCAAATGAAGTTTTAAATCTAACATGTTTCAAATCAGTTAGAACATGTGCTGGCAGACTAGTGCATAAAATTCATGATGTCATAAGATTGCAATTCTGATAGAACAAGTTCACATAGAGAAATCAGCAGCTAGCAAATGTAATTAAAAGTTCCATGAGTTGAATGCAAGGAATTAATTATTGAATAAACTACAGCGAGAATCCAACTGAGTAAGCGAGAGGGAGGAAAGTGAAGGGCAAAGTAGTGTCGATGTTTGGGCATGTGAGTGGAAATAGAAATACAATCCATTTGAATCACTCGGGTAAGGACACGAGTTGGGATGTTGGTGCGGATGGTTTATTCAATGGAATGGCAGAGTTATGGAATAGAGGAGCAAGGACATGTTAAAGTTGAAAAAGTGATTATGGGTTAATTTGCCTAAACGCATTGGGAGTCAACTTCAATATCCTGAGAATAGCTTTCGTCGCAGGTTTAGGGTGTTTTAGTGTAAATTCACACCTCTTCTGTACTATTGTCTCATATGCTAGCCAATCATTCATCATATAAACTGAAAAATTATGAAGCATTTTTAATCCCATTTTAAATGCCAATGCTGAGCCATCGAATTTCATACCACTTGAACCGAGCATCTCCAGCCATTTTGTTATTTCAACGAGCTCGCACTGGTAATTTGATGTCAACTGTCATGTTAAACGAATCAATGGTAAATTAGAAGCTACAGTGCACTCGAGTACGATAATTTTCAAAAATCTTGTGCTGAAAAGCACGCCTGTATCGATTTCCTTCGTTTGAGTTTGAAACAAAGTGTTGAGAGGCCATTTGAGGTGATTGATTGGAACTAATTCCCTCCCTGCCTCCAAAATACTAACTTAGGCATCATCTACAAATAGGTCAAAACCCTTCAAAAGTTATTGAAAGTACCACAGGAGTACAGGCCAGAAATCGTGAGTAAAACTACCTGAACGCATACTACTTATTGAATCTCCATTCCACAGTATAATTGCCTAGAATTAGCCTTCATCACAATGGAAGAATTCTAGAGTGAGAATTCAATTCGTTCCGGTGACACGAAGTGGGCATGTACTTAATGGACCAGAGACCACAGGGCCTCTGCAGATTTCACGAGTACCAACTTCCAATTCTAACAGGATTCAAATATTTTCGCATTCATGAATTGAATTATCATGTGGAATGAGCAATAAGGTCTTGACACCATTGCCTGTCAGCCTCACGCACGATAAATACTTAAAGTGCATCCTTTGTGTGACCTATTTTAAGACTCATGGGTGCTGTGAAAAGCAGATTAGGGTGCGACAGCTCAGTTTTGACTTATATGCGCTTTTTGAAAGGGCACAGATAGCAAATGAATCATGGGATTTTGGTTAAGGAAGGGAAATACGTTCTTAATCGCTGTTTGCTTTAAAGGAGAAAATTACGGCAAAATTGAAATCTGCTTCAGTGGTTTCTGCCATAAGTCAGCTTTAACAACTCCAACCCATAGAAGCCGTATTTCGTCCCCTGATACCAGCCCACTTTAAAACATCAGCTTCCGAAATCGGAGACTGAGAATTTAGCTAATTTCATTCAAAAGTGCATTTGACATAATTTCGTATTAAATTGATTTTTGACAAATTAGGGTAATATCAATTGACATAAATTAGTATTGGAAGATGTAGAGTCTTAAAGTAAATTGGATATTTTGAAAAGAAGAAGGAAACTTGATTATTTATTGGTGATTGAAAGGGCATAATTTCAGGGAAGCGTATCTGAGCATTGTTTATGCATTGATTTGCTCTGTGGATGTTTTGGATGAAGAACGCGCAGGTTAATGACACTTCACACAAATACTGATAAAAAAAATTAATAAGACTGAGCAACACAAGACAGCATAGATGATAATCATAGGGGGAAAAGGTGAATCTAAAATAAAAATCAAAACGATTTGTAATGATAAGTTGGTAAAATGAATTAGTAAATGAAGGCAAGAAAGCACGTGTTTTCAAAGATTTAGATCAAGAAATTCAGACGATGGATACAAAACACCCCATTCATCGATAAACAATTTCAAATTGCACTGATTTCTGAGCCCAATTGGACGTACAGATGTTGAATGTTGAGTTGAACAAGTATAATTCAACAATTTCGCTTATAGATACTCCATGGTCAGACATATATGTGCCCCATCTTAAAGCATTCAAGGGGGAGCATAATATGTGATTGAAGATCTGCGCTGGAGTGATGCAAATTGAAGCTTTTCTTAAGAGTGCATTTCTTACCTCCGGTGTGTGGGGGGGGGGCACTAGAAGTGAGTAAAAATGGGTGAAGTTGATTTGGTCATTATGCGTGAACTGCCTTAATTGTTTGCTTCCAATAATTGCTACTCTGAGTTGACCTATAAGTAAGTAAAAATGTCAATATTCCAGACTATTTTCAGTCTTCAAATTTCCTAATAAGAAACTGGCATTATCTGAAACTACCAAGTGGTTTATGATATTTGAAATCTACTTTACGCGTCTCCACTTTTACTGCTATCAAGTGAGACTTCTCAATAGACCTCAACTTCATCGAGGATGCCAGAGGATACATTTGGCGTATGACGAAATATGCAATCGGAAGCATAGAAGTGCCAACCCCTCGTTCATCTCATACAAAACAAATTAATAAATAACTAACTCCCCACCAAAAGTGCCCACTCCGGACTCACCTAAAACGTTACAAAAGCATTGTCAATCTAGTGTACCGTATCAGTTGGTTAGTTCGACAGACTAATTTCAAAAACAGCACACCAATTTCGCCTATAATGCTTGTAGAAATACCGAGGCCACATTGTGACTACAATAGGAATAATTTCGAATAAGACGACACCAAACAAAATCTGGAGCTCTAACTGTTCTAACATTAGGTAGTTGATTGCATGCATGTAAAAATGTTTGTCTAGAAAGGCGTGATATTTACTCATTTAAGTAGACATTTCTCATTGAGTTCAGTAGCAATTAGCCAAATGAACACTTAGTGAGATGCGGATCACATCTGAGCATACTACGAGACAGTTAAAGTAAATTAGACTACATCAAGTAGTAAAGAGAGTAGAATTGTGCAATATTCAATGACTTAACACATTTAAATCCACCAAGATGAATACATATATAAGTTACCATTTGGCATGCCACCATCTATCTTATACTTTCTAAGTAAATAACTAACTGACTCACCAGTGGAGGCTGTGGAATCTGATTTAACTAGTCCAGCATCTTCTCTTCTTCCTCCTTCTGCTTTGGCAACGAATTCAGCTGGAGGATCCGTGCCTCCTTTTAGTACCCCAGCTAAAGCATTAAGAAATCATTGGTAATAAGCCTTAACAAATTAATAAATAATACACTCACCAACAACAGTGCCGACTCTAGAAAGACGTGATAAATACTCATTAAAGTAGACATTTCTCATTGAGTTCAGTAGCAATTAGCCAAATGAACACTTAGTGAGATGCCGATTACATCTGAACATACTACGAGGCAGTTAGAGTAAATTAGACTACATCAAATAGTTGAGAGAGTGGAATAGTGCATGAGAGTGGTGAAAACTCTAGAATCTGATTGACGAAAAAATCAATGACAATTAGATTGGATGAGACATCTTCAACTGAACATCACCACTAGCTTCATCAAACGTTTACTTCCTCCTCCGAGAACGTTGAATGTGTGGCGGTCTAAATATATGAAGATTGCTTTGCCTATTGCACAAGTGAAATTATCTTAGAATAAATTGAATTCATGTAAGTCCCTATTTGGAAACTGCTTTCACTTACACAATGCCATCACAAAGTAGACGGAATTATGAAAAATAGGTTAAGAAGGTGAAAGGATTTAAATATTGCTCTATGAATTCGTAAGTAGATACTTACCACTTGCAGATATTACCGTGACAACAAGAAGTGTTACAAGAAGGTAGAGAAGACAACGCATTTTCGTGTAGTGTGTGAGTAGATTTAGGGATTTTGATCGATGTTTATGTACTGTGCACATAAAACCTATGAGCAGACAGACTACATGACCGTTCTTCCTCAGCAGAGTTTATTAATAGTGCATTAAATTATCCTTTTGGAAGAGAAATATTATAATATGTAAGCATTAATTAATGGTCTAAATTGTAAAATTTATCGATAATTGCAGTTAAATTTACGAAATAATAATCTCCTTTTACGGAGGAAGAAGTCAAATTCATAACTAATATTTGTCGTATTTCCATTTATATGAGGCGAAAATAGTTGACTTTACTTCGGAAGTCAACAGATTCTCGCATCCGTAAATACAATTCGCATTTATTTCAAATTATTGTAATTCACCGTTGCATTAAAATTACTTGCGGAATTTTTTCACATGCCTTCTTAATCATCACTACAACCGTCCTTTCAATAGTCTCGACATTATTGGCAGGGCAGTGTTCCAAACAGTCCTCAAATTAACCTCACACGTCACACTGCATTCAACTAATAATTTGAAAATTACACTTCTAGACCCACATATACACAGACTGTCTTCTTCTTACCAATTTTTACCTCCAACTTCATCACAACAGAAGAATTCCGCAGACTTTCTGCAGTGGTAGAATTCTTGAAAGTTCAAAATAGTTTTTTAACAACAAATTTAATTATCACCAAAATTGGGCTTTTTCTTCTCGGTATCATTGTCTGGAAACTTCATACATGATAAATATATCTCTTTTTAATTTAGTATTACCAATGGCTTGTGATTGAATGAAAGCAAAATAACATTTGCCTCCAGAAAGCGATCGAATTGGGCAGGGGAGAAAAATTGAGTTTAGATTGATCGATTTTTAAAGATCCGCCACGTTTCGTGAATTGGTTGCTTGAATATGCACCATTACCTGAAACATTTGCAGTAGCAGTGGTATTAACATTGAACGTTGTTGGTAGTTTACAAATAACGGTAATTGACATTTATATCTAGCTTTCCAAAGAAAAATCCTTTGCACTAATATTATTGATTGAATGAGCATGAGAGCAATATTCGGAACTGTGGAAATAAAACGAGTTATACAATGCTACTAACAGAAATTCAGTAGTGAATAATTTCAATTAGTTAATTCGTCTTAAATCGACCAATTGGAATTAGATATCTAAGCCACATATATATTTCTATTTCCAATGAAGAGCAAATTTTAATACATTTCATTGTTTCCTATTTGAGCTTATTTGTTTAAAAAAGTAAATTCTACTTTATTTTTTTAAAGCTGTGCTGCCTTTGTTTCAAATGCTTGAAATTCAATCTGGATAAATTTTTTTCTCGAAAGATGAGGAAATCTTCACCCCAGGACAAATCCATGAAAACCCTGTTTAGAATTTTATAAACCTAATTATAGGAATATGTTATTTCACCAATACAATGCCATAAAGATAAATGAATAATGAACGTGTGGGACACGTTATCGCTGTGTGCGTCATCGT